GTTCATATTCTTATTTTAAATTTTAAGAATATTTTATTTTCCATTTTTGTAACAGATCTCCTATCATCAGTTCTCTTATCTGATAGTCCTATCATCCTATCCAATTTTGACTCACACTTACCTTTTTAGGTTTCTATTTTAGCTCAAGAGCCTCTTTAAAATGAATAGGTGTAAACACGTAATAATCTAAAAGCAAGAAGCAGGCTAACCATGCTAGGCACAGAAGGAGGTTAGATCATGTGAGCTATGATTTCAATGTGTTCAGTTATTTAGGGAAGAGAATAGTTTGCAGTTAGGCATTACTGAATGTTGTACTGTTCCTAGTATATGTGAAGATTGTAGTGTTAGGCATCCAAGTGAGGTGTAAATTTAGATATCATCATTGCTCATTTAACAAAAATGTGGCATTAAAGTAAGAGTTACAAGCTATTTCACTTGATAGAATTGCCCTAAGCAGCTGGGTGTGGTGGCTCATGCCTATAATCCTGCACTTTTGGAGACTAAGGTGAGAGGATTGCCTGAGCCCACGGGTTCGAGACCAGCCTGGCAACTTGGCAAGACCTCATCTCTACAATAAATAAAAAAATCAGCTGGACATGGTGGCATGTGCCTGTGGTTCCAGCTACTTGGAAGGTTGAGGTGGAAGGATTGCCTGAGCTCAGTGGGTTGAGACTACGGTGGTCATGCGCAGCATGCCACTGCAATCCAGCCTGGGTGACAGAGTGAGACTCCGACTCAAAAAAAAAAAAAAAAGAAAGAAAGAAAGGAAGGAAGGAAGGAAGGAAGGAAGGAAGAAAGAAAGAGAAAGAAAGAAAAGAATTGCTGTAAGTGTGGAGGATAAGTGTGTCTTTAAGTGACTCAATTCAATCAGATTATTTACTGAGCTGCTTTGGGTTCAGAGCAGTAGAGAAGTACATGGATAGAATAAACACACACACATGTATATCAGTCTTTCTGGAGTGTTGATAAATATTCAATCTCTTTTTTTCCATATACCTTTGAAAGACCCTGAGAGTGAAAACGTTTATACCTAGACTACAGTTCCCAATATTTTTTTTTTTTTTTGCACCCAAGGAGACATAAAATCATTTGCATATTTTATATTCTGATTTTGGAACTTTTTAAAGGCTTTTAAGAGTAAAGAAACTTTCTAAGGAAGTTTACATTTTAGATTTTTAAAAGTAAATTCATTTAATGCTATACATAGCTATTGAAGTAGACATTGACCTTGAAGTATTAGAAGGCATGCTCAGGATATCTCCATTCTGTGTCTTTCTGGGGGCAGGTCTTTTTAACCGATTCTTATAGGTAATGGTGCCTTGTTTGCAGTGTGTTTGATGCCAGGGAGCATGAGGGAAGAGTGGTAAACTGGTATTTTGGTGGTGGTGTTGCCCGGGTTTAATCCAGATGAGAAGGATTGAGAGCACAGTGCTTCTGGGCTTCCAGTATTCTTTGGATTAGTGTTAACACAACGTATTTTTTTCCATTCTTTTGATCTTACTTTCCGAGCTTCTCTATGACATACAGTTGGATATTATTTTAATCTACCTTGACATTTGCTGAGTTGTTATTTTAGACTACTCACATTTAAAGTGATTATTAATATAGTTGGATTGAGACTTCCTATATTTTTAACTGTTTTCTATTTGTTGCATATACTCTTTTTTCCTCTTTTTCAGTATTCTCTGGTTTTAATTAAGCATTTTATATGATTCTAATTTAGCTCTTCTTTTAGCGTGTCAGTTGTACTTTAAAGATGTTTTTACTGATTGCTCTAGAGTTTAAAAAATATATTTTTTCACTAATCTAGATCTACTTTCACATAACATTATATTGCATATAACCCATGTATGTTTAGTATATCTTATAATAGAGTATTTTCTATTCCTCTCTCTTTTCCTTTTGCCATTACCATCATTCATTTCCTTTATCCATATATTATACTTGTTCAATACATTGAATGAAAGGATATTGTTCAATACATTGAATGAAAGGATCTTTCTTTCATTATGTAGATCCAGGTTTTTGACCTATATGATTTTCCTTCTGTCTAAAGAGTTACTAACCTTTCTTTCAAGTTAAGTCTGCTGGCAATGAATTTCCTTGGTTTTTGCTTGTCTTAGAACTTGCTGAGGTGCAGGGTGCGGTGGCACATCCTTGTAATCTCAGCACTTTGGGAGACCAAGGCTGGAGGATCCCTTGAGGTTGACAGTTTGAGACTAACTTGGACAGCATAGCAAGACCCCGTCACTACAGAAAATTCAAAAATTAGCTGGTCATGGTGGTGTGTGCCTATAGCCTTAGCTGCTTGGGAGGCTGAGGCAAGAGGATCACTTGAGTCCAGGAGTTGGAGGTAACAATGAGCTATGATTGTGACACTGCACTCCTCCAGAACTACTCTTTGTCTCTTCAGACAAACAAACAAACAACGTGCTGCGACTAAGGTGCTATAATGAGAAAGTGGTGGGGACAAGGGAGTATTTGCCTCATAAGTCCTGGCAAGCAGTTTAAATTTTATTTCAGTTGCAGAGAGAAAGTTTTAATCTGGCGTTTTATTACAATCTAATTTATTTTCCAGAAAATTTCTTGGGCAGCTTTGAGAACAATGGCATAGATAAGGGGAGAAAACTGGAGATAGGAAATAGGAGACTTTTACAGTAGATAAGACTAGGTGGTAGTAGATGACATGAAGAAAAATGGATAGATATGGGTTTATTTTGGAAATGAGTTGACTGATATAACTTGCTAATGTAAGGAGTAGAGATAAATCAAGGGTCATATTCAACATTCTTGTTTAACTAACTTAGTAGAAGGTGGTGTTATTTACCGAATTGGGAAATCTGGGCTAGAAACAAATTTGGAGGAGATATTGGGAATTTTGTTTTGGTCACATTTCATTAAAGATACTGGTAAGATTTCCATGTGGAAATAACAAGTAGAGAATTACATTCCAAGTCAGGAATTTGGAGGCAACATTTGAGTTGGGATAGAAATTTGAGAGGCTTTTAGCTTATAGATGGTAGCCTATTGAGTCCATGAGAGTGAGAGATGTTATTTGGTGAGAGTGTATGGCAAAAAAGGTCTCAGAACTAGAATTTAGAAGTTAGGTAGAGGAGCAGCAACCTGAAAAAGACTTGGAGAAGGATTGAGCACAGAAAGACTGGAGTGTGGTATCTTGACAATCAAGGATCCATGGTACAGTCTAGAAGAGTGAAGACATGACTTGTAACATATACTTCATTTTCAGAAACATAATTTGCAAAAAGAGGAAAACCTTCAGAGGACAGATGAATGGGCTTGAAGGATTTTAAAAAGAACAGATATTAGCATGCATAACAAATAAATGATGGAGCTGGGTGTGGAGGCTTATGCCTATAATCCTGGCACTTTGTGAGGCTAAGCTGGGAGGCTCACCTGAAGTCAGAAGTTTAAGATCAGCCTTGACAATATAGACGTGCAACCCCCTTTTCTATAAAAAAATTTTAAAAATTAGCCGAGACACTCATCTTTACAAAAATTTTAAAATTAGCTGGGTATAGTGGTACGTTCTTGTAGTCTTAGTTACTTGGGAGGCTGAGGCAGGAGAATTGCTTGGGCCCTGGAGTTCAAGGCTGCAGTGAACTATGATTGTGCCACACTACACTCCAGCCTGGGTTATAAAGTGAGAACCTGTCTCTTAAAGAAAGAAAATAAATGATAGCTAAGTATACTAGTCTAGGACTATAATTATTATTTTCTTATATTCTTGGAATTTTAAAATTTTTTATAAAGTTGGAAAGTAATTCATGTTTTAGAACCTAAACATTGGAAGTAAACCTAACATTGGAAGTAAATCTTTTTTCCCCCCAAGAGTAATGGTGTTAGTGTCACCTAATGGCAAAATGGAATGTTGCAGCCATATTTATAGGTTGCAAGAAAAATAACATTTCTGAGGGCATTTGGCGTGGCCAGTAGAACAAGAAAATAGAATTAGAACAAGAAAAATAACATTTCTGAGGGCATTTGGCGTGGCCAGTAGACTTATGATTTACAAGAGCCTGTGATTTTTAGCCAGCCTACTTGTCCTGTTCCTTTGTCATATGACCCATGTAGTCACTGAGCAGATTGTGGAATACATGGTTCCTTTTTATCTCTCAGGTTTTGACTCAGATATTTTCCTTTGAGTTATTTCCTGTCACCTTGCTTAAAGGTGACTTACACACTCCACAGCTGCACATCTGCCTTATTCCCTCACGGAGCCCTGGGGCTGAGTAGTGTCTGTTACGCAGTGTCTTGCTTCAGTTAAAATTAGTTGTGTGAATACACCAGCTTCTGGAAGCAATAGAGGCTGTTGTTTCTGTGGTAGAGAGATCTATCCAGAAAACAGAATTACATTGTAGTTGATATTGAACCATTTGTTTGCTACATAAGTGCAGTGTGAAGGCATATTTTTGTCTTTGATGCTGATAAGGGGTAATGTGCTTGGAAAAGACCCATGTCTTGGGGTGCTGGATTCTATGTTAGCCTCAGTGACCCCCAAAAATATTTTGTGGTATAGTACTTAGTCTTGAAGAGATAGATCTTTTGGAAACATTTAGACTTAATTAATAAAGTAATTTCAGTGAGTGTTTTTTGTTTGTATGTGCATTTTTCAGTATTTCTAGTATCACACTTAATTATTTCCTCTGTCCACTAAAAAGAACAAAATGATATTTCTTGGAGAAATAAGAAACTGAGTCAGATACATAGCAGTAAATCTGTTTAGTTGAGATTGGGATAATTTGTTTTATTTCTCAGGTTACAATATGGTTCTGTTAGTCTGGAAACTTAGGGTGAAACAAGAGTACATTTCCACTATGTGATTCATCCAAAAAGGTAGCCGCCCTAATTTTGAGATAATTATGTAGGCAGCAGGATTTTCCTTCACATGAACCATTTTTAAAGCCTCATTAATCCATACTTCTAATTAGTTCATGTTTTTAATCAATAGTTTGTTTGTTTGTTTGTTTTAATCCCTGCAGTTTGGCCGGGTGAATGTGAAGAGAAGTTTGCAGAACTGAAATGGAGGTCAGAGCTTCATTGCAGAAGGTTAGTGGGTCATCTGATTCTGTGGCTACACTCAACAGTGAAGAATTTGTTTTGGTTCCTCAGCATGCAGATGATTCTTCTACAAAAGATGACAAACCTCAGCTGAAGGTATTTTTTTTCCCTCTTCTACATATGGTACTATTTTTAATTAAAAAAAAAACCACCACCACAAAACTACTTGAAACTTATCTCAGGAAATGTATAAAATCCAAAGGTTTTTCTCAAGTACTGACCTTAAAACTAAAATCCAGAACCTAATTATTTGGTTTGTTTTTAAAGTTTTTTGCTATTGCTTATTGACCTTTTAATTTGGAATTTTAGGAAGAAAAATAGAAGAGAAAAAAGAAGAGAAAGGATAGTTGTTTGGCAAATTAAATCTTATATTACTTTATCTGAATGTTTTTGTTTTTCTTACTTCTGGGTTTTAGAGGTTAATTATAATAATAGTTATATTTTGCTTTTACTTCAGAGACTTTTTTCTTTATGATCTTTATGTTTTAAATCAGCTGGTAACATTCTGGTATATAATTTAACAGTTGTCTGAACATTTTTTAAGTATATGTTTTATATTTTTAATGGTTGAGTTTGTATTTGTATATGGTCCTTTTTCTTTTTCACTTTTGTGTTGCCTTTTCTAAGTCAAATAAAAGGGAGCAAGCAAACTAAGGTATATTTGTGTGGGAATTGTGTAACTATCCTTTAGAAACAGGAATAGAAAAATTAGTCAAAAGTGCCATTTATTATTTATGACTTTTATTTACTATTAACTATGGTATTAAGGGTGTATTAGTAGATCAGTCTTATAAAATATATTATAAAAATAATATTAAATATGTTGTTTTATAATTTGATTTAAATCATCAGTGACTATTTTTAGACACCTGTATTTTTATCATTATTGTGTTTTAGGCATTATCAACTGCTTTTAAGAAAAAGATGAGTCAACTTAAATTAAAGGAAATTAACAATATTTCTCTTGGCTGCTAGTAAACAATTTGCAAATAAGTCAGGAATATGTTTATACTTTTAAATGATATTTACAATAGACCTTGTGTATTTAAGCTTATCCATTTTCCCCTTTAAAACATGTAAATTTGCTTATCTGATTTTTAGAATGTGTTCCTTAAAAATAAAAATTTTAACAAAAGATAAATCTCTATAAACAGGATCTTGTATCAAACAGTTAGAAATGGCCTGAAGCGTTTTATAAAGAATCCTTTAGTTTGTGAAACTAAAAATCCTCCTCTGATTTAGTTCATTTTATATTCAGGATTTAAATATATATATGTTAAGTTAGATGTAACAGTAAAGATTCTTAGAATTCAGTAACTATATATTTAAATATCTAGATTGTTTTAATTTCTTCTAGAAATGAAATATTTGCATAAAATTAACTTCAGAACCATAATAACATTGAAACAATTGTCTTGATGTCCTTGTAGATAGTTTCTAATGGTGATGAACAGCTGGAAAAAGCCATGGAAGAGATTTTGAGAGATTCTGAGAAAGGGCAAAGCAGTCTTCTTGGTGATTGTCAAATTTCCAGTGAGATTTCAGACCATTCATTTGGAGATACTGCAGCTAGCCAAACAAATAAGCCATCTCTTCAGTTAATTTTGGATCCATCTAATACAGGTACTGTACTGAATTCTTAGAAACTATAAGAGAAATGGGATAAAGTGATAGTGAACATTTTAAGATAAAAAATAGAGAATCCTATTAGCTTTGTTCAGACTTTCAGTTTTGGATGAGAGTTTCCACTTTGGTTCTTATGTTTCTTCCCGTGTCTCCGCCTATAAAATCAAGTCTCAGTTTTCCTTGGGAACAGCAACTATGTCTGGGTCCTCACTTTACTCTTATTACTTGGTACATGTGAGGGCTTCAATAAATACTTATTGAACAAATGAATAAATTCCTGGGCATTAGAGAATTGTGTAATGGACATGTCTTTCATATGATGTGCTTTTTGACTACACTTTTATTAAAAATTATAAAAGTTGCTAAAACTTCTAAGTAAAATACTATATCAACCCTATCATGTATAAATTGATGTCTGTACATGAATGTGTAGGAATTATGCTTTGAATACCAGCTTATAAGTTATGATGCTTTTGAATGCAAGAAAAATAAAACCAAAACCAACTCCCACTTCAACTGGCTTACATATTAGAGGTGTAGTTTGACCTGGACTCTGATGGCATTTTTTTGGGTAAACTCCTTCGCTGGGTCTTCTCTCTATGTCACCTTTTCCTAGCTGGCTTCCTTCGTGCTTTTAATATGGCTACTAGCAGAAATTGGTAGGCAAGGCTAGGAGATCTGTTCATGCCTGGTGGCAAAGAGAAAGGCTTCATTCTTTTATCAGTTGAACAAAAGATCCGAGTTTCACTCTGATTGGACCAACAGAACCATTTTCTAGTTGTCAAGGAAATGACTTGAACTGATAGATGCAGGCCTGGTTTACATTCAGACCCCTCAATAAGTTACTCTGGTAGAGGGTATGGGGTTATACTGATCAACTGAGGGAACTCATGATCCATTTCTGAATCTTGATACAGTGTAAATATAGGTATGATGAAATGTGTTGAAATATGTGTAGGGAATGTAACCGCAGTGCTTGCCATAGCAAGGGTAGTTGAGCATTGAAAAATCTATCAGTGTGATTTACCTCATAAAGTGATGAAAAGAGAAAAAAAATCAATAGATATAGAACAGACATTAGATAAAAATCAAGGTACACATACAAAGTTCTTGGCAAACTAAGAATAGAAGGAAACTTACTTAACCAGATAAATGATATCTATCAGAATCTTGTGTTATATTTTATGTTGAAATTTTAAGTGCATTATCAGTAAGATACACCTAAACAGGAACAGGACATGATAGCCATCTTCATAGCTCTTTGACATTGTACAGAAGAATCCACTCAGTGTAAGACTACAGGAAAAAGAAATGAGGTACTGATATGGTTTTTTCATGTCAGCCTGGGCTTTGAGAATGTCAGCTCACTGGTTTGGCCAGCTGAGCCCAGAGGTGGTCACCTCCATGGACTGGCAAGCCAAGCCCTGAGAGTATTGCCGATTCTGTAGGCTGGCAAGCCTAGCCCCAGGAATGTTGGGTCTAATGGGCTGGCAGGAGTGTCTCAGCCACCAGAAATGTCTCAGCTTTGGAGTCTCACCTTTTTCTAGCAGTTCTCCTGGTTCAGCTAGCTCCATTCTCTGGCAAGCCAGCCTCTGGGATGCATGGCTCCTTTTGTAGCTGTTCAGGTCAGTGTTCTTGCCCAGGAGTAATGAGGGGCATGAATGGTTACAAAGTTGAGAAAGTAATATTTATTGAGAGGACAGAAAAAGCTCCCACAGTGGAATGGGACCTGAGGGGGTTGCTAATTTGGAGCTGAAACTTGGTGCTTATGTAGCCCTAAAACCAAGGCGATTAGCTAGCACTTGCTATGAGCTTATTGGTCAGCACAAGCTGTGCTGATTGGTCAGTACTGAAGACCAATTGGCAGGAGGTAGGGGCTTAATGGTGAACTGATTGGTTAGCACTTGCCAGCGAGCTGATTGGTTGTTTTTCCATCTCAGTGGTGGGTACTTAAGCTCTAGCTTGAGACTTGTAAGGAGCTTATTTACCAACGTGAGTGTATGGGCTAGAGAGGCCTGCCAGAAATTTGCTCTATTGACCCACCCTGTCTGCCTAGCTTTTCTCTGGCTATCTCCTGTCTCTCTATGGTGAATAGAAAGAAAGTGGAGGCTGAGTGCAGTGGCTCAAGCCTGTAGTTCTAGCACTTTGCGAGGCCAAGGCAAGAGGATTGCCTGAGCCCTGGGTTTGGGACCAGCCTGGGCAACATGGTGAGACCTTGTCTTAAAGAAAGAAAGAAAGAAAGAAAGAAAGAAAGAAAGAAGGAAGGAAGGAAGGAAGGAAGGAAGGGAGGAAGGAAGGAAGGAAGGAAGGAAGGAAGGAAGGAAGGAGAGAAAAAAATTGTCACAGCTTGTAAAATATTTAAGGAAGTGAATGGACAGGAAGGTTAACAGCAATAATAGAAAGTAAAAATTCCATTCACAAAACCAGCAAACATAGTAGATATCAAGGAAGAAAGAAAATTTTATGTAAAACTTTAATAAGGAAAATTATAAAATATTATTAAAGGAAATGAACATTTGGATGAATGGGGAAAGAGACCATACTGATTCCTAGAGGGAAGATTCAACCTTGAAAAGATGTCATAAATCTCCACACTCATCTTAAATTTTTGTGTGGTAATTGCAAATTTTCAATTATTTTTATAAACTTATTCTAAAATATATCTGAACAAGTAGAAGTACTTGGGTAGCTAAGATAATTCTTAAAATGAATGCCAGTTATTAAGATACACTACAAAGTTACAGTGATTAAACCAGTGTAGTATGACTTGTCATAAAATTGAAGCACTTAAACAGATACCAGAAACAGATCTATGTATATGAAGGAATTTGGTATATGACAGAATTAGTTTCATATGTCAATGGGGAAATTATAGATATTCAATAAATGGTGTTAAGGCAATTGCTTCTTTGAATTGAATAAAATAAAATTAGGTTACTAACTTATACACAAAAATTATTCATAGTAAATCAAATATTTAAATATGAAAAATAAGCCTGGGAGAAGAAAACATTTGAGAATATTTTTGTAATTGTCAGGGTAGGAAAGGCCAAACCAGAAAAGGAAAAGATGGTTACATTGTAGTGTATAAAATTTAAAATCTTCTGAATGAGAAAGGTCCTATAATAAATTTGACAGGTTGGGAGAAGAGATTTTCAATGTGTCAGTGGGGTTTGGGTGTCTCCATGCCTACCCTCTGGTTTGTTGATTTGCAAGAAAGACTCACAGGTCTCAGCATGTGGTTGTGCTCATGGCTAGATTTAAGTTCAAGGGGATGTAAGTCACATACACACACGCCAAAAAATGTATACACATTTTGAGTGATGTTATCTATGTATTACTTTTCGAAGTTGAATTATGGTAGCAATGTGCAGTATGACATTTGCTCAACCATACTTCTGCCATTTTCTTTGACCATCCTGCCTGTTGCATGGTGATACTAGCATTCAGTTGATTAATGCCATCTTTTGAGCAAAACATCATACTTAAATCGTATGTACATTTTTTTTGACACCTGTGTGTGTGTGTAATTAAGAGATACAATATTGGAAAGAAACATTACAAATTATCAATTTTTATTAGTTCTTGATTGAGACTACATGGGAGATTAAATTATTCATTGTGCTTTGCTTTATCTTTTAATTTTTTTTTTTTTTGAATCAGAGTCTCACTCCATCACCCAGGCTGGAGTGCAGTGGCATGCCCCTGGCCACTCCAGCATTGACCTGCTGGGCTCAGGCGATCCTTCCGCCTCAGCCTTCCAAATAGCCGGAACTACAGGTGCGCGCTGCCATGCCCGGCTAATTTTTTATTTATTGTAGAGATGAGGTCTTGCCAAGTTGCCTGGACTGGTTTCGAACCTGCGGGCTCAGGCAGTCTAATTGCCTTGGCCTCCCAAAGTGCTGGGATTACAGGTTGAGCCACTGAGCCCAGCCTATTTTTAAATTTCTTAATCCCCACCCCTTATAAAAAATTCAAAGTATATATGTATCAAAATTCATAGAATTAAGTTATTTTTTGGTTAATAATATTTGTTGCAATAAATTATTCTCTTCCATGACTTGAGAGAATAGGATTCCTTTTTTGAGCATATTCTGTAAGGACTATGTATTGTGTACCTTTTCATTTTTTAAAAATGTGTCTTTCACTGAATATCTTAGTGGGTAAAAATAATTTCCTTTGCTTTACAAGTGAGTTTTGTTTTTGGTATTTTTTCTTATATATATTTTCACTTACATTTTCAATGAAAGGTTACTTCTGCATTTTCACAGTTGCAGTTAACACATTTTTTTACTAACAGAATTATTGTAATTGGTTTGAAATGACAGCTAACTTTAATGTCAAGGAATTGTCTGGAAACTATCTAAGGTAGTCTTTCTAAACTGAACATTAAATATATACAGTATATTGTTTGCCAGTTATAAAACTAGATAGATGAGAGCCTTTGCGTAAACATTTTGATAACTTGTTTTTTGTTATTTGGTAATCTTATATCCTGACCACTCGGATTTACATCTAACAGGAGATCTTTGCTGGTTTACTGCTATTTGCCAAAATACTGTTGGATACAGAGATGTGTCTTCTCTGTTATGGTCTTTCTGTGGGAAATGACATCTTTCAATAGGAAAATGGGTGAATTAAATATTTCTGCTATTTGCCTGCTTAACTCAGGATTTCCACCTGTCATAAACCAATAGTTACCAATTAGTTTTGTCTTCATGAAAGTGAAGTAATGAAACATTTAGTTATGGATAGGATAGAGTCCAGATGGTGCCTGGGATGACATGTACTTGCCATAATAAGTTGCCCTAAAATTTTTCATTTATTTAGTGCTTAATTACTTTGATATATATTGGGTATCCAGTCTTTTAGATATTCTTAATTAGTGCTGGGAATAAAAAATATAGAACAGTTCCTTACCTTCAAGAGCTGATCTGCTATATAATTAGGAACAGACTAAGGGCCGGGCTCAGTGGCTCAGCCTGTAATCCCAGCAC